GTTTATTTTATTTATTTTTTTCTGCCAAAAAGACAGGTATGAAATCAGCACAGCTTGACTATAAGCCACTCCAGATTAAAAGTCACATCAGTTGAAAAATTGCGTAGTGAAGAGAGAAACGACGTAAGTCGCACTGGAGTAATTGGAGAAATTGTCAACTGTGACTTTCTGTCTTCATGACTAGAAACCATCTAGTGTAAAGGTCCATCAGATGTCGAATAAACTAAAAAACAAAAGGCGGTCGCTGGATTTTATTCGGATTCACATGAAGTGCAGCCTAAGCATTGCTTCCTGCTTCTCCTGCTTCTCCTGCTTCTCCTGCTCGCACATCGTCTCTCCCGGAAAGCCGCTAACAGAGACTGTCACTTCACCGCAGTCCGATGGCTGACACAACAGCAACGCGGCAACAGGAAGTGTGCCACCGTGACCTAGTTCAGTCTGTGTTATTTCTGAAACATGTCAATAGAATTACAACTGCGAGCATTTGTCTTTCTATATTAGTTCCAAAATTAGAAATCCTGATAATTTGACACAAGAAGGATGTTCAGGATACACTTACCGAGTTTATCTGAGTTTGTCATTTGTTATCGTATGGACTATAGCCGAGGGTTTTGCTCTCAAGATCTAAATCTGTTGTCTAACCACTGCAAACAATACACTTGCAATTAGAACTAATGCACTCCATTTCATTAACTATATTTCTCTGCCTGTGAATGTCTTGTTTTTACGCTTTTGAGGGTCTGTTCTTATTTTAGCCATTGTATTTATTTCACAATAAAAGTTTGTGGCTTGAAGGAATGTGATGTGAAAGCCAATTTTCTTCTAGAGCCAGTCCCAAATTGGCAAAAAATACCTTTATTCATAAGCGCTGCTCCCTCTGAATCTCATATTGTATTTATTATTCATGTTTTCTAGTTAGTAAGTCTCTTTTACCTCTATATTTTTTCACTCTACATGCATCATAAAAAAAAAACATACAAGTGACTCATAAAATAAGAGCTTTCATTAACAAACAAGGCAGGCTGTGTTAATGGTTCCGTGTTCAGTTATCTACTGGGTTTAAGTGGGTTAGAAAAACAGTGTGTCGCTTTGCTCTCAGATTCTATGTATCACCAAGCACAATGTAGCTCATAATTGTAGAAAATTATGTTTAGTTTTCAACAATATTGTAAGAAAAGATCTGAAAAGTGCGGGGCACCTTTTTATGCAACTCCCTTTACTGTGGGATCACAAAAAAAAAAAAAAATAAAAATAAAGTGCACTCATTGACAAGAAACAAAATTGGGATTTATTACCTATTTTTTCGTCTAAGTATGTTGAATTCCAGTAACTTGATGACTCACAAGTTTAAATTTGATGTAGGTGCTCAGATATGTTACACTGCTGATTGCAAATCTTTCAAATCATGTATTTTCGATCCACATTTTTGTTTTATAATCTAAAGCATTTCCACACAATCAAACCATCCATTAATTCAAACCCCCCATCAGGGGTTATCCTGCTGCTTCGCCTCTCGTCCTCTTCCCATTTTTCCTGACTTTTGAGAACAACATTTGACACCACATGTGGATGATGATGTTATTTCCTATGATCACTTGGTGCCAAAATAAAAATTCTATGTTTGTTGTGATCACTCTCTCGGTTATATGACATGAGGCCGACGTGGCACGTATATAAACTGTTGACCAACATCGTGTCTGCTAACGTGCTCAGACATACAAAGAAAATGCAGAAATCCAGCCTATACACATTTTCAGGGCACACATTGTTAGGAAATTCACCTTTTCCCATAGCCAAGGAAAAGTAGAGTGTGGGGGAAGGGCCTATCAAATGAAATGAATATGTATAAGATGGGGTTTAAAATACCATCTTGTATTCAGCCCTGCATGCTCACCGAGCGTCTGTCACTCTGTCAGCATCAGGATATAATAAGGCGGCATTTCAATGACGCTCAGAACTCCGGAGGCTCTTACATCTAAGACACCTGTCCGTATGTGCACATACCCCGAACTGCCTCCTCCAGCCGACTCCTGCTCCCTGTTTCTTTTTAACGCACCCTGCCTTTTCCTCGGCTTCTTTTCCTCTGCCTTCAAACTGTACCACATCTTAATCTTTATGCTCTGCATGGCTCAGCTGAAAGATAGAAAAGTCTTCTTTTGCTCTTCCCCTGCCATTTCTTTCTTTCATTTTGTTTCTTTTCTGTTTGCAGATGCACATGGGTTTTTAACACCACAACACAGGGCACTGAATACTGCTGGGCGTGTGCCTGGTGACATAGGTTAACACTCCTGCCAGCAAACCTTTTGGCCTTTGACTCCGGTCTCCGTGCAAACACACACATCAGTAGACATTTCTCAGGGATCTATACAATGCACACAGGCACAAAAGGCTCATATTTTACCTTGCTCAAAAAAAAAAAAAAAAACTTTCAGGCTGTTTATTACAGCTTACCAAGGTACACTGAAACTGTTTTTCATCCTCTAAATCTCAATCCATCGCTTAACGCCACAGTGGACCCGCATGTTTGATCCCTCGCATCCTTTAAATGTCATCATGTAAAGTTTTGGTCGCTTTAATCATTCTTCGTCCTTATACGGAAGAAGACATCCCTTCCCTAAACAGCAAATCTGTTGATGGATGATTCAACCTAAAGATCAATGTCCATCCTGGGACCGGAGATCAGATGAATGTAAATGTCACAGATCTGCAAGATACTGGAAAAAGAAAAAAAAAAACATGAATAACATTTTATTTTTCTGTAAAAAAAATCTGTGTGGCTGTCAAGCAGTTTGAAAGTTTACCTGCAAATATAATAATTGGACTTTCTTTTTTTCCCCCCTTCTGCTTCTAAATTTGTTGTGAGATGATTGAAATTAAATAAGACGGTTTATTTTTTTTATACCTGGTAAAGAGAATTAAAAGTCCTTGAAATTAATTCATTTGTGTTACAGTAACATAATCACAGAAAAAAAAAATCAATAAAACTCACTCAGAGAATTTCAGCGGAGGGCTGCTTGTCGAAATCATCATTTTTCGAAGCAATCATTAAATGCTAGATACATGCCAACTGTTTTTCTTTGTGTAGAGTGAAACCAGAAAAAAAGTATTTCCCGTTGAAGCTTTGCAAACATAAACATATGGAGCTTGCTAAACTCTGCAGAGACTTTTGCTGAAACCATCTGCTAATGAGACAATGATTAAGCTTTTCTACCGCAGTCCAGGTGGCTTTGAGGTACACAAAAGTGGAAATCAGTAATAAGGCACTTTCGTGCAAAGTGTTACAGTAAGCATGGTGAACAATCTGTTGTGCTGTGGGCCTGTTATCTGTCTATAAGGCCTGCGGGAAGCGCTTTCTCGGAGATGAAACAGGACATTCACTGACTGCCAGTACATTAAGAACATTGAATACTATAGAGAACCAGTGGGCTGAGATGAAGGAAAAAAAAAAACCTGTAAGAGACTTCCAACCTTAGAGTTTGCAAGTTTAGATGCATCCCTGTTATAACATATCTGAATCCTGCTACCAGATAGTACACTGTAAAAAGTCTTACTCACGATTAGTTGACATAAGGTATTTCTATAAGTTAGTTCCAATTAACATAATGAGTTATGAAATGTCAACTTAATTTCATGAGTTATTTTCATTTCAACTCGAGGATGTGAGTCAGTTCAGTGAAACCTAAAATTCAAACGTGTGAACATAACTTGACAATCTGAGTTTTAAAATGTTAACCGGATCTTATAAAAACTGATCACCACAGGCAATATTAATGCGAGATACAAATAGTGCCGGGAATTCGCTCTTTATCTGATAAGGGACTAAATATGAGGTGAAATTTAGTCAGAAGTTCTAAAGTTTTCCATCCCAGTTAGAATCGCATATTAAATGAAGAAGAGGAACACCAGCTGACCACATTAAGGACGTCGAAAACACCTCGCGGATGAATACCATTTTTTCCGAGACCTCGGTCCTAAAGGCGTTCAAGTTCGGCGGGACATTTTTTCCAAATGCTAAGCGAGCTGGAGAGATAAAAATGTAAGGTAAGCTGCATTTTGTCGTTTTTTTGATAATGCCATCCATTTTTCAAATATGTTAAGAGCTAAAAGTTTGTGTTACATATTTAAACACAGGACATAAAACAACAGCTTGCTAATTGAGGGCGGCAGTTAGTTAATGCAGTTGAGCCTAGCTAAACGCAGTATGCTACTCGCTTCTAGAACTTTTTTAAGGGAAATACAAGCCGCTTCCACGATTTTTGTTTTGTACACTTCCTCAGAAATGCATATGTGGCGCTTGGTCAAAGTTCTGCATCGACGTGCTAACTGCAGACGAGTTAGCGGCTTCGGGAAAGGCTGTGCCAGTAATTAGTCTGTTTCTTGTCAGTAATTAGTCGTATCCTTTCTTTCGTGTGTTCGTGTGCATGCGTGTCCCTTTCTGGTTGCCGGTGAAAAATGCAAACTATCTCCAGCAGCTATTACTGATTAAACTGTATTCTGAATTTTACAGTAATTATTTATCAAGCGTTAGCTCAGGCTGGGCGCGTGCCCAAGACTATCACATATCAAGGAGCTTTGGTGGCTTCCAAATAGTCAGGACCCCACTGAAGGTCCTGAAACATGGAGGAGGGGTTCTGAAAAATCTTTTTTCGATTTGATTACTGTTTAAAAATGACTATTTGATTTAGTTGTTAGTAAAGTGTGTCACCTTACAATGAATTAAACTAGCAAAATTAATTTTGTTGTCCTTCACTTGACCCAATATCAAGGTATATCATTTACAATAAATTGGGGACAGTCTGTGTTACTGTTATTGTGCAGGTCAAATTCTGAAAACTTTGGAACCTCTACTTTGGACAATGAAGCTGATGAAGATAACATTTTAGTCAAGTTATTTTAATTAAGTGGCAAAACTGGAATTTGTATGTATGAATACTTTATATTTTTAAATACCATAATCTGAAATGTATGGGTTTTTTTGTTTAGTTTTTTGTGCAGGTGTCTGCGAGACCCAGGGTCAGAAAAGGGATGGCACTCATGGTTTCACAGTTTGAAATTTAAAATGGGAAACTACAGGCAAAAATTAAGTTCAGCACGATACCCTGAAGTGGTCTCAAACAAAAGAAAATCTGGAATTTCAAAAGGGGAAACTGTCAAAAAGTCAAAGAAGGGAGAGGTGAACTTCTGTCCTGATCCATCTGAAGGACACAGTCCTGAAAACATGGAGGTGAAGCGCAAGATAATGGAGGCTGAAATGCAGAAGAAAGACCCAAATCATCAGCTGCTTGAGGATTTGATGGTTGCTACATTTTCTCAGCGTAGGAAAGACATTGTAGGAGATCAACCACACATCACAGAGATCATCTCCTGATGGCCTGCTCTGTTCCATGAGAGACAGGTAATCGCATAACTGAATTCGTTCCACCAAGACATTTAGTGATTTAATACTGAGTTAACTGTCCTATTGAGACAAAGTTTTATATTCTATGTATTCTATTCCTCAGATTAGGGCAGAATTTACAAGAATCGTCACCACAGACCTTCTGAAATCTTTTCTTGACTGACTTGATGGCCTGGTTTTGAGACTGCTGGAGGTCTACAAAGCAGCAACCAAATCTGGAAAGAAGCAGCCACTCAAAGACATTTTGGACTGCCTTGCAAAAGATGTGAGCAGGACTGAAGATGGCTAGAAAACAAGGCATAATTTGTTAATTTTGTTAAAATATATTAATTTTACTGCATGTCTCATCTCTTGCAGGACACAAATGAAAGGAGAAGGGCTGCTGCTCTGCTTGGTTTGCCTCGCTACATATCTGGCGAAGATCCATCAACTGTCATCAGGATGTGTGATGTAAGACTAACAAAATTTCTTACAAAAACTGTTTACATGTTTACCTATTTCTCTTTCTTGCTATCATTTCTTTAAAATCTTTTTGTAGCATTTGTGTTTGCAAAAACATATTTTTAGTCCTTATTAAGAGACATCACTTCCTGTGTACTACAGCCATGCATAACATCAAATTCCGATGTAATTACTTTGTGTATCCTTATTAATTTTGCTAAAAGCCAGTTGATGGAAACATGCCTGATTTGCATTTTCTTTCATTTCTTTTGACATTTTAAGAATTTGATGATTAAAAAAATGCATTAAAATGGAAACACTGCTGGTGTCCTACATTTTTAGAATAATTTTAACTCTTCACAATGGTGGTTTTTAATCTGGTGAAGTTCTTAATTGGAGCCTTTTAAGTACATTTATTTATTGAGATTTCAATAAAATTCTGTTTTATTTGTCAAATTGATTTCTGTTTTTGTCAATTTTGGTCCTCCAATAAATGTCAACACCTCTGCTTGTCTTGGACAAATGTTTTCTTTTACACTTGATTTAAGGCTTGTCTCATATTTGATAGAGCAAGATAAAAATAAATGTATAATATTTGAAATGGAAGTGTATTTGGTGTAATTTTTAGGAAACTGGTGAACTTGGCATTATTAGTGGAGGAAGTGAACAATATTTGGAAATGTTAGTTTACTTAAATTGCAATTTTAAGTTCAATTGCTGCCTTAAACTCTTAAGTTAAATCAACTCAAAAAAGGAATTGGTATGAATATAGTTAGTCAGTTTAACTTTAAAATGAGAGTTGAAAGTATATATAATTGTTTGTTACTTTAACAAAATAAAACAAGTTTTCTGAATGGATAATGTATCTTTGCAATGTGTTTAAACTCAGAGTATGAAGTTCATACAACAAGTAGTCATTAGTTAGAAAAGTGGTATAATTTAATTATTTGAGTTCAAATAGAATATGATTTTAATTTCACTTGACAAGAGTACTCAATTTTTTGAGAATGAATAATGTTCTGTAGTTAGTCATTTCAACTTATGGTATCATATTTAAGCAACAAATTATAAGCAATTGGGCTACTTTTCTAGCTTGCCAACCTAAGTTGGAAAAATACATAATTTCAAGTTGTGCTAACTTGTGTTTTTAAGGCAGCAATTGTACTCAAGTTTTTAAGTTTAACCACCCTAATTATTTTTACAGTGTAGGATTCAAGCTGATTAAATTAAATTACTGCAAAAAGACAAAAATATTATACACATATCAAAAATATGGTTATCATATTAATCATTTCTCATTGTGAGCTGTGTGTGTGTCCGACATGTAAAAGGTGGTTCTAATTGCCTGGATTAGAAAGAAGGACAGAAACTCTCTCCTACATACAATGTATTTGAGAAAAGTCTCATCAATTAGCATGATCTCTTGTTTGATGAACAAGCTAACTTATATCGCCAGTTCATTTCTTTGTGCATCCATGTTTATATATATATTCTGGAGGATTTTTGTCCCATACCATCTCATCTGGGCTTGTGTGAGACTCAAATATACACGTTACTCATCTGCATTGTTCATTTTTTACCTTTAGAAACATTAACTACTTTTTTTCCTGATTTTTGTCACTCACATGCTTTAATTATAACCATTCAGATTGGCATTAAAAACATTGCCAATGATCAGATCTCATTTGCTCGTTTTTGCATACAAATGAACGCACAGTCATAAACCTGGGCTGTTAACATCGGTGTTGAACATTAGGCACTACTGCTATTGTTCTGTGCTCAAAATACATTCACTCAGCTGCGCTGTATTATTCAAGGTTGAACACAGTTGAGGTTCACCTGGCTTGCTTTGTTTTATGTGCAGGCACTTCAGCTAAAACAAAACAAAAAAAATTAAAGCTGCAAGCAGCCTCGAACGGCCCTCGCAGCCAAGTGCCGCTCCGGCCTATTGTCCACCGCGAGGTACGAGCAACCGCCGCCTCACGCCAGCCACCACAGAAGCTCTCACGCAGTTTTCAGCTCCTCCGCCCGCACCGCAGAAGCTGTTGCTCAGTTTCCATAAACGCTGGCCACGTGCTAACACAGAAGTTGTTGCGCAGTTTCCGCGCCCGTCCACCAGGCGGTACGCACTGATGCGTTCGGAGTCGCTCCTTGACGATGCAAAAAATGTGGTGCAGATTCATTGGTTTAGCGAGGAAATATAGCTGGCGGATTAATGTAGGACGCGCAGTGGAGTCAAAATATATTTCAATGCTGTTGTTCTTTTTAGAGGTCAACAAAGGTCATACGTATCCAATTTGGCGTCAGTCGGATGATCCACGTGTCATTTACAGCCGATCGTATGCACATGGCGAAGTACTACAGTTGTCATTTTTCATCATTTTCAGCTGTGTTTCTAAAGCACTCTATTTCATTGTTGGAGTAATACTTACTCAGAGTGGCGAATTACTGAAATGGTTTGGAAGAAGTAAGAAAACGCTACATTTACTGCATGATTTAATTCAACAAAAATTATCTGAGACATTTCTATCCTTTTAGAAATTTCATGGCAACGCTCTCACAAAGTTTAGCGCCCATCCCCCCGTGGATCTGTTTGTCATTGTGGAGGAACACTGACACCTACTGGCGAAATACTGATATTGTTCTTCATCCTGTTTATCTGCTGTTTCATTTGTGGAGCAATACTGACCCCAAGTGGCGAATTACTGAAATGGTTTAAACGCCAAAAATGGGTCAAAATCTGAACTTCAATCTAAAATGGCCGACTTCCTCTGGGGTTTAGACCATGGGTCCAAGAGACTTTTTTGTAAGTCCTGACAAGGTACACATGTGTACAAAGTTTCATAATTGTGGTTAAAGCATGGCTTGGGGCTGATCATTTAAAATTTTCTAGGGGGCGCTATAGAGAAATTAGGCCACACCCTACAAATATTGTGATGGATTCCTGTCGGGGAGTTGATGAGGGTCCATCCTTGTGAGTTTGGAGCAGCTGGGCCCAAAAATGTGGAATTGAGAGCCAAACGTATGGCGATGGCGTTACAGGTCACTTCGCCACGCCGCCACACCCACCTCCTCCATCGTAGCTGGTCGGGGTTGGAATCCTCAATACACCAACATGTTTTCTGTGTCTGGGCACAGTTTCATGTAGATGAGGTCAAAGGGGTCAGACAGCGACAGTTCACAGTAAAACATTACACTTCCTGTTCTCAGGGGGCGTGCCTAAGTGATGTCATCATTCGACCATAGGGTATTGTAGGACACCCTATGATGATCAATCACAGAAACTTTGGTGCCTCTGTGAGTTTCTGTGTAGGAGATATAGCAGTTTATTTGTTATGGGGTAGGTGAACTTTGACCCCTGCTAACCCCCCTTCAGCATACTCAAAAACTCACCGTTTTGATAACTTTAGATGGGACATGCCTTATGAACAGACTGACCGAGTTTGAAGCCGATCAATCGAAATCCCTAGGAGGAGTTCGATCAAATACGGAGGCTGTAAATGGCAAAAATGGGGTCAAAATCTGAACTTCAATCTAAAATGGCCGACTTCCTGTGGGTTAGACCATGGCTCCAAGAGACTGTTTTTTAAGTCCTGACAATGTACACATGTGTACAACTGTTCGTAATTGTATGTTAAAGCATGGCTTGGGTCTGATCATTTAAAGTTTTCTAGGGGGCGCTATAGAGAAATTAGGCCACGCCACCAAATATTTTTTGATGGATTCCTGTCGGGGAGTAGATGAAGATCCATCCTTGTGAGTTTGGAGCAGCTGGGACCGAAAACTGTGGAATTGAGAGCAAAACGTTATGGCGATGGCGTTACAGGTCATTCGCCACGCCGCCACGCCCACCTGCTCCATCGTAGCTGGTCGGGGTTGGAATCCTCAATACACCAACATGTCTTCTGTGTCTGGGCACAGTTTCATGTTGATGAGGTCAAAGGGTTCAGATAGTGAAAGTTCACAGTAAAACATTACACTTCCTGTTCTCAGGGGGCGTGGCCAAAGTGATGTCATCATTCGACCATAGGGTATTGTAGGACACCGATGATGATCTATCACAGAAACTTTGGTGCCTCTGTGAGTTTCTGTGTAGGAGATATAGCAGTTTATTTTTTTACGGCGAGTAGGTGAACTTTGACCCCTGCTAACCCCCCTTCAGCATACTCAAAAACTCACCGTTTTGATAACTTTAGATGGGACATGCCTTATGAACAGACTGACCGAGTTTGAAGCCGATCAATCGAAATCCCTAGGAGGAGTTCGATCAAATACGGAGCTGTAAACGGCAAAAATGGCCTCAAAATTGGACCTTCAATCCAAAATGGCTGACTTCCTGTGATACTTGCACTATGACATTAATTGTAAATTTTGAGCGTCCTGGGGAGCTCTACAAGTGTACCAAATTTCATGTCTCTAGGATAAAGTAAGTGAATAGCAAAGGGTCCTTAGAAAATTTCTAGGTGGCGCTATTGAGCCATTTCTTGTGGATTTTTGTGATGACCTTAAAAATCAAAATTTTTAAACAGGCTTAAGGCCTCCGCCAAGTTTGGTGAGTTTTCCAATATGATAAGGCCCCCAAAAAGCCCCCCAAAGAGGTGGAAAGAAAAATAATAATAATTAAAGCTGCAAGCAGCCTCGAACGGCCCTCGCAGCCAAGCGCCGCTCCGGCCTATTGCCACCGCGGGGTACGAGCAACCGTCGCCTCACGTCAGCCACCACAGAAGCTCTCACGCAGTTTTCAGCTCCTCCGCCCGCACCGCGGAAGCTGTTGCTCAGTTTCCATCAACGCTGGCCACGTGCTAACACAGAAGTTGTTGCGCAGTTTCCGCGCCTGTCCACCAGGCGGTACGCACTGATGCGTTCGAGGCGCTCCTTGACGATGCAAAAATGTGGTGCAGATTCATTGGTTTGCGAGGAAATATAGCTGGCGGATTAATGTAGGACGCGCAGTGGAGTCAAAATATATTTCAATGCTGTTGTTCTCTTTAGAGTCAACAAAGGTCATACGTATCCAATTTGGCGTCAGTCGGATGATCCACGTGTCATTTACAGCCGATCATATGCACATGGCGAAGTACTACAGTTCGTCATTTTTCATCATTTTCAGCTGTGTTTGTAAAGCACTCTATTTCATTGTTGGAGTAATACTTACTCAGAGTGGCGAATTACTGAAATGGTTTGTAAGAAGTAAGAAAACGCTACATTTACTGCATGATTTAATTCAACAAAAATTATCTGAGACATTTCTATCCTTTAGAAATGTCATGGCAACACACTCACAAAGTTTTCACGCCCATCCGCCCGTGGATCTGTTTATCATCGGTGGAGGAACACTGACACCTACTGGCGATATACTGATATTGTTCTTCATCCTGATTATCTGCTGTTTCATTTGTGGAGCAATACTGACCCCAAGTGGCGAATTACTGAAATGGATTATAAACGGCAAAAATGGGATCAAAATCTGAACTTCAATCTAAAATGGCCGACTTCCTCTGGGGTTTAGACCATGGCTCCAAGAGACTTTTTGTAAGTCCTGACATGGTACACATGTGTACAAAGTTTCGTAA